GCGGTGTACAAGTACAAATACTAATTCAAGAGATTCCTCAAAAACACGGTGGCCTTAAAACGAAAAATATATCATAGATAACGTTTTAGGAAATGGCCCTTCTTCACAGCACGTACAGAGAGAGAGAGGCCAGATAAGCCACTGCACAAACCGTCACCGATCAAACACGATTTATCTTAAGGCCACAGTGTCGACGATTGTCACGATCAGCATCTTCATTTAGACTGCGCGAGAAATCCGATGAGCTGCGAAGCTCTTTTCCACAGACGCCCAAAATGTGCAGTGCAGGGCCCGTGCAATAGGCTAACGTCAGATCACCAAGGCTTTCCTTCCAAGCATGACCTTCAAGCATTTCTCATCACGTCGGCGTCCGTAAAATGTTCCGCGTGCTCGTTCCACACCTCCACCTTGATTTGTTCCGCGACAAGCCGAGCCTGAGTTGAATGTGCATTTTTTTTGTTTTCCCCACCGCTGGCTTAGAATCAATGGTTACGAAAGGGACAGCTGCGGCGGGTCGGTCGGGCATAGCCGAGGCTCACATCAGCATCGACCCGGGCAAGAAAGTTTCTGCGACGAATGCCCGTCGTGCGGGTCGCAGCACGTGGTCGTGTTGGTGATATTGCGTATCTTAAGATGCGTACGTATTGTTGTTGTTGTTTGTATATTACTGTCACTGAGAGGCGTGTTCTCAACTGTGATGATTAGTTTAACAAAATGTGTGTATACATGTCCAAAAAACAGGTATAGATATGATATTTAGAATGATCCCAATTAAATGTTGTTGTTTTTTTTTACGTGATACCGTAGCCAGTGACGTCACTTCCGTGCCTTTCCTGCCTAAATAACGTCACTGTTACGATTTCTGACGTCACTTTTACAATGCGCAACGTTCTTTTGCTTACATTCCGATATTTTTTTGTTATAACTATATAATTTACATGATAGTTTAACTTAAAATGCACTGATTACATGTGTAATCATTACATCTGCACAAACAGTGAACGTGATAAAAAAATGTTTTATCTATATTATGAGGTAAATAAACGATAAATAAAACCTGAAATGGACCCAATTTTTTTTTAAATCCAATATCCGATTAATGATAAACGAAACTTCATCCCGACTGTATACGTTATTATTTAAGTGAATAATTTATTGTTTAAAACCTCGTTTAGTCTTCCTTTATAATTTATTTTGCAAGACTGTTATGACTCGTCAATAATTTGGAGAGGTTTCCTCCTTGTAGATTTCGAAGCTGCAACGCTCTGTGGGACACAAAGACAAAGACCCCCCGTGTAGCCTGTAACAGACTGTAGGGGCAAGTGCTGTTAGCGAGCAGCACCTACGAAGGCCGGCACGGGCACACACGAGGGGGTGGGTGGCCAGCACCACGCCCGGCCGCCTTTGTCTCCCCAGTGGCGATGCTCTAACGCACCGCACCGGGTACTCATTCGAGGCTGAGTCGACCTAGGGGAGTCCCGGGATCGGTTCAAATATTCGCCACTCTTATTGGTCGTGAGCGGGAACCGAACTCGGATCGCCCGTGTTCGTAGCGCGGCGCGCTAACCGCTGCACCACCGCTCCCCCCCACCCACGTGTTCGTAGCGCGGCGCGCTAACCGCTGCACCACCGCTCCCCCCCCCACCCACGTGGTCAGAAGAGACCTGCCATTCCTCACAATGCAGGTGAATCTCGCTCGCGCTGCTGACAAGCTGCACTGTCAACCGCACAAACATCGTTAGAGGGTATCGGTCATTCAGTTTGCAGGCGTAGGTCATGGATTTAATATGTCTCTGCGGGCCGGTCTGTAAGTGTGGCGAAAGAAAACCCGAGGTGTCTGAGTTGGTGGGCTAGGCTGCTGCACAATGCCTGTCTGTGATCAGCACAGTGGAGGGAGCAGCTAGGGTTGGTGGGTCACCGCGCAGATGCTGTAACTTAACTCACTGAACTATGTTTATTTTACCAGGTAAGGCCCACGGAGCGATAGGGCTCTTTTTTTTTTAGAAGCGACCTTCCCAACAAATGATAGCTCATCAAAGTGGCCTATCATCACGTGGACATTCATAGCGGTCAAATATTCTGAACGCGTGATGTTTGATTCCAAATGTGGAGGGGTAAATCCAGAGGTCCCGGAGAAAACCCCACGGGAACACGGGGAGAACATGCAAACTCCAAATACACAGCAGCAGGCGTCAAGGGTTCCGGATCGAACCCACGACCTCCTGCGTACCAGGCGAGGGAGTGAACATCTCGCCACTGTGGCGCCCACTGTTGTACAACTCCCTTCCCGCGGGTGCGGTGGTGGGACCGTATATTGGCTCGCCAGAAATGATACCGTACAGCACATGTGAACTCATTACAGGACGTGTGAACTCCGTACAGCACGTGTGAACTTGTACAGCACGTGTGAACTTGTACAGTACGTGTGAACTTGTACAGTACGTGTGAACTCTGTACAGCACGTGTGAACTTGTACAGTACGTGTGAACTCTGTACAGCACGTGTGAACTTGTATAGTACGTGTGAACTCTGTACAGCACGTGTGAACTCTGTACAGCACGTGTGAACTTGTACAGCACGTGTGAACTCTGTACAGCACGTGTGAACTTGTACAGTACGTGTGAACTCTGTACAGCACGTGTGAACTCTGTACAGTACGTGTGAACTCTGTAGAGCACGTGTGAACTCGGTTGCAGCACGTGTGAACTTCCACCTCTTTCATCTGCGTGGGGATAGAGTGTTGGTCCCTCGCACGCATGAGGGGGTTTTTTCCCGATTTCTTCCCACCTGTAAACGCTAATGAAGAGTGCCGCGGTGGCTAGGAGATGTTGACTATCTCGCCTGGTATACAGGAGCTCGTGGGTTCGATCCCAACCCCGATGCCTGCTGCACATTTGAGATTGCATGTTCGCTCTCTGTCGCCCCTTGGTCGCGTAGGAATTTAACCCGGTAGCTCCGGGTTTTCCCTCCACATTTAGAATCAAAGTGTGTCTAGGGTTCTTTCGGTAAAGTCACGTAGAATGAGAATAAAATAATAAATTGATAAAATAAAATAACACAATAATAATAATATATCTCATTCTACGTGACTTTACCGAAAGAACCAAAGAAGATGAATCATTGCAGTCACGAAAGCTTTAAATCGAAATGTGTCTCGGGTGTTTGGCTGCTATAAATGTCCACGCGATAAGCCACTTCGTTGAGCTATCATTTGTGATAGCCAGATCGCTTCTGATTGGGCCTTACCTCGATTTGAGGTTTTCGTGACTGCAGGGATCCATACTGTTTGGTTCTTTCGGTAAAGTCTCGTAGGTATTTTAAAATAAAATACAATTATTTTATTTTACATCTACGTGACTTTACCGAAAGAACAAATACTGCACATTTATTTTATTTAAACTGGTAAATTTATTTTATTTTATACCGACGTGACTTTACCGAAAGAACCTTACCTCGTCAAAATGGAAAAAAAAAGTTTTCAGTTTAAAATGCTCCGTAACATCTACATACTTAGAGAACTGCAGAGCTTTGGAGGGGGGGAGGGTGAGAGTTTGGTGGGGGCATACCGCCTGGCTTGCTACCTTTCCCACTCGCCAGTCGTTCGCCCTCGCCCCCTCTGAGTCGTTCTGCCTTCGAGAGCGAACGAACACCGCGCGGTAGTGCGTTGCAAGTCACAAGCGAATTATTTCGGGAAAACAATGAAACGCAAGGTGTGCCTTGCGTATTCCAACTTTACCATTCGTTGTGGGAGCAATTGCATGTTGGTCAACATTGCCACCTTCAAGGCAGTTCACAGGCTCCAAGTCGCGTTACGGGACATTAAAGTACGTTCATTACTGTCGAGTGCACATTAAACACCCCGTGACAGACGTCACTTACAGGATCAGGCCTTTTGTGTGTCAGTATTATATGACCTCTGGCTCAAATTGCAGAAATGCGAAACGTAATGATGTCATTGCTATCGAGCGTATCACGATTCGATCTAACAAGCGATAAGCCCTACCGAATTTCATCTATTTCACTCGGTCCCATATAATAGGGAAAAGTGAATTGAGAGAAGGAAAAAAAATGAATCTTGGGGGAGGTCCTCACTCAATTTCCCACTTGCCCGCCCAGGGACTGCACTCGAACACAGGATCTCATTGACATGCGCCTGTGCTGAGAAACATGGAAAGGGGCATTACTCCCGTGAGAGAAGCCTGCGTACTCAGCGGCATAATAGCACCTCACCCTTCACTGTTCCCGTGCCATTAAATATACGCCCGCACTCCTGTCCGCACACAGGCGTGCAGGGTGCACGTGACTTTGCTGCTTCATTGCACACTTTGTAAGCTCGCACTGAACTGGAGGGACGTCTCCCCCCCCCCCCACCACCCTACTTAGACGAGCAGCCTCGCGCGTTCTTAGGACGTAACCGTCCCTCCCTCCCTCCCTCCAGCCAGCCAGCCAGCAAAACTTTTTTTTCCTAACGTAGTAGCGTACCGTATGTGATCAGATATCGTACGACACACGGTCGGGGTGGAGGGTGGGTGGGAGGCGTGACGTCGGCACGCAGTTGTGACGTCACCGTCACTCACGAGCGCTTGGCAGCGCGCCAGCCAAGAATCAAGGCACGGAATCAGTCAGCAAAACGTTGTTGTTGTTGTCTAATATAGTACGATCATGAATAACCCCTGCGTAAAATTGGCCCTCGCCCTGCCTGGCTCACGCGGTGCTCCACCACACGTGAGCACCGCGGGTAAAACGCGTGGTCGTGATTGTACGTGCGTGCGTGCGTGCGTTGAACTTCTTTCGCACCGTACGCACCCAACCGTGCTGGTCAGAGGTGCACGACGATGATGACAAAGCACGGGGCTCGCACGCGGTCGTGGCGAGCCGAGCGGCTCCTCCCGTGTACAATGCAACTGCAATGCCTCTCTCTCTCTCCTCTCTCTCTCTCCTCTCTCTCTCCTCTATTTGTGTGTTTCCTTTCCTTGTCTGCGTTATGTGTTCCAATTCAGCGCTCGCTCTCGCAAGGAAGACTTTCAACTCTCGGGGTGTGTTATTTTTTATTTATTTTATTCTTTCACGGATACTTTGTGGGAAGAGAGTCGATATGGACGCTCTGTACATTTGACCGTGAAACGAGCGCCGTTTGTGTTGAGCTTCGTTTGCACAACCGCATCGAGAAAGACGCCGTACAACAGCAATAGAAGATTCTCTCTCTCGAGAGAGAGGAAGAGAGAGGAAGAGAGGGGAAGAGAGGAGTGTCATGCAAGGAGAGATGGGAAAATGAAACACGACCAAGACTCCCAACAGGTTTCGCTAATCGCCTGACCCCCCCCCCCCCGCCCCCCCCCCCCCCCCCGATCGTCACTTCTGAACGCTGCACGTGGAGAGGAATCGCAGCGCGCGTGACGGTGACACGTAACACTAGGGACTGCGAAAGCGGGTGACAGGGAGCGTGCGGCGACGTGACTTGGCAGTAGCAGCAGTGGCAGCAGCAGCAGCAGCAGTGGCAACAGCAGCAGCGGCGGCGGCAGCAGAAGCAGCAGTGGCAGCAGCAGCGGCGGCAGCAGCAGCAGCAGTGGCAGCAGTGGCAACAGCAGCAGCAGTGGCAACAGCAGCAGTGGCAGCAGCAGCAGCGGCAGCAGTGGCAGCAGCAGCAGTGACAGCAGTGACAGCAGCAGCAGTGACAGCAGCAGCAGCGGCGGCAGCAGCAGTGGCAGCAGCGGCAGCAGTGGCAGCAGCAGTGACAGCAGCAGCAGCAGTGACAGCAGCAGCAGTGGCAGCAGCAGCGACGGCGGCAGCAGCAGCAGCGGCGGCAGCAGCAGAGGCAACGGTCGAACCCAAGGCAGTGTTGCCCACTTTAAAAAGAAAGAGCATCACCACCCCAGACAGGCAACTTAACGGAATCTCTGGAGATAAATGAGCATTGCGGCGCGGACAAAGCGAGAGTGAAAGAGGACGCGCGTCTCGTGCCGGGGAAGATTTTTTTTTTATTTTCTTCGTTTGTTTGAAAACGCGACTATCATTTTGCCATCGAATAACTTGACAGACGAAAGAGGGAGAAGGCGGGGAGATTGGAGAAATGCTTCTTCTTAAGACAGGCGCCCCGACGAACGGAGGAAGCACATCAGCATCATCATCATCATCATCGCCGTCGTCGTCATCATAACAACACACCCCAACGGCACTCAGTGACGCGCCAGCCATCCAGACTCACCGACACCCCAGCGAGGAGCAAGCAGCAGCAGCTGCCGTCACCCCCACACAGAGTCCGCGCGCTACCTCGGACAGACCAGGGGACTGGCGGTGGGTGGGTGGCTGGGTTGGGGCCCCCGTTGTTGGAAGGTGGTTTGCGGACACGTGGCAAAGTGAACTGACGTTCGCGCGCGCAAAAAGGATTACAACGACATCGCCAACTCTCTCTCTCTACTCACCCCGCGCCCGCGCCCCCGCCGAGTGCGTACGAAGGCTGTTCAGAGAGGCGTGAAGTGGGGAGAGGGGGGGGGGCAGTGCAGCGCCGTTTGGGAATACTTATCGGAGCACAAGTTGCAAAGAGGGGGCGGGGGGGGGGTGGTGAAATCGTCACGGAGCATCACGCGCGACTCCGGCCGCATTTGTCTCCTTGAGAGACCGATGCTCGGGCAACGCGGGGGCGACTGATTGTATTTCTGTGGGGAAGCTCGATTGAGTCGACGAGTCGAGCGAGCCTGCCAAGGGGAGGAGGCGACAGAGGCACGCAACGCGGACAGGACGCGGCTTTTGCGAACGATGCCTGAATTTGCGCCCTCTACCGAGCGCGCGTGGAATGATCTTCACCACCACCATCATCATCTTCATCACCATCATCAAGATCGGCCGCACGCTCCCCGACGCGCCAGCGAGCCGCTGGCGGCCAGCGAGCCCCATCACAACCACCACCACCACCACCAGACTCACACGCAACAGCCGCAGAGAGCGAAGCAATCGCGACCGGCGAACCTGCAGCAAGAGAAACGTCAGCGCTGGTTGCACCACCACCACCAGCACCACCAGCAGCAGCAGAGTCAGCCAGCAGAGAGGGGGGAGGAGGAGGAGGAGGGAGAGGCTGAGAGCAGAGGCGGCTCGCCTCGCGGTTGCTCCAGCGAGATCGCGGAGTCAGATGGCGGGCAGGAGACGACTTGGGACGACACGGGAGATAGGGAGGGCCGAGTTGCTTTGGCTCAGAGCGACGGCAGAGACAGTCGCGCCGCGGCTGGAGAAAGGATTTCTGTTGCAGCAGCAGCAGCAGCAGCGGCGGCGGCGGCAGCTTCGGCCAGTGCACGGGGAGCTGAGGGCGACAGCGACGATCTGGGAAGCAGCATCGAGCAGCAGCAGCAGCAGCAGCACCGGAGCATTGAATTTGTATCCACAGCCTCTCCGTCTTCGCCGACTGCAGGCGACTCGGCGACAACTGTTGCAGCGACTGCAGCAGCAGCAGCGGCAGCGGCAGCAGCAGCGGCGGCTGCGGCTGCGGCGTCGGCGACTCTGCCACCGGTGTGTGAAGACAGAGGTTTTGCCAGCCAGGGCCCGGCAAGACCGCAGCAGCAGCAGCAGCAGCGGAGGACCGTTCGGAGGGCACACTCGGCGGGCGAGAGAGCGACCGAAAGCTTCTGCTCGGAGTCACCCATGGAAGAATTAGACTACAATACGATGGTCATGCGGGTCGGCATACCAGACCTGCAGCAAATGGTAAGCGACATCGACTGCGCCTCGGGTTTTTTTTTTGTTTGTTGTTGCGCGCGTTCATGCCGTCCATGGTCATTCATTCGTTCGCTCGCTCGCTCGCGCCGCTCGCCAGCTCGCCAGCTCGCTTCTGCGTGCCATTATTCATTCGTCCCGTTCGATGCGTTTCGATAGCATGGAGATGTGAGATTTGAGTGCCGAGAGCGTGGAACGGAATTATTATCGCCTTTATTTTGTATTTATTTGGGATTTTTTTCTCCCTCTCTCTCTCTCCTAATTGTGAATGGATAAGGACCGGCGATTGCTGATTTGCGTGCGTGTGTATGCGCGCGCACGTAGGCACACACGCGCTGCACGCGTCTGTGTGTGCGTGCGTGTGTGTGTGCGTGTGCTCGCGCGTGTGTCTGCGTGTACCTGTGTCTTTATGTGTGTGTGCCCGCGCGTGTGTGTGTGTGTGTGCGTGTGTCTAGGTGTGTGCGTGCGCGCGCGCGTGTCTGTATGTGTGCTTGCACGCGCGTCTGTGTGTGTGTGTGTGCACGCGTGTGTCCGTATGTGTGCGCATGTGCGTATGTGTGTGTGTGCACGCGTGTGTCTGTATGTGTGCGTATGTGCGTATGTGCGTGTGTGTGTGTGCACGTGCCTATGCGTGCGCGGCCGTCCGTGTGTATGTATGTGCGCTCTTTTGAGCGTGCGTGCGTGCGTGCGTCTGCATTCGTTCCTTGCCCACGATGTCTGCATTTGTTCTGCACCGCTGCGTGAACGGTGCAGCCTTACGCATCCGAGACGCGCGCGCGTGCGTGCGCGTGCGCGTGCGTGCGGGTGCGTCCTGCGTGCGCGCCGATCGCCGGTCGAGCGGTGTCCCTCTCTGCACGCTCGCACACCGTCCGCGCGCCGCGCTCAGCACTTTGCGCTCATTTGTGGTGGGGCCCTCGGGCGAATGAATTAAAGTGGCCGAGATCAGACGTACGCTACGTGCGTCTACGTGCGTACGTGCGTGCTTGCCCTTTGCTTTCGCCAGCCTCTCTCGAGCTTCCAGCTGTCATCGTACGTGTTGGGCTAGACTTTATTTTTTGGCGAATCCTGCATTTGATAACACGTGTGTGTATATATATTCACACACAAAGACAAAGATCCCCCGTGTAGGCTAAAACATACTTTTGGGTGCAAGTGCTGTTAGCGAGCATCTGTGATGGCCGGCAACGGCACACGAGGGGATGGGTGGCCAGCACCACGCCCGACCGCCTTTGTCTCTCCAATGGCGATGGTTTACATACCCCATCCGGTGCTCATTTGAGGCTGAGTCAACCTAGAGGAGGCTCAGGACCAGTTTAGATAATCGTTAATCGAACCCGTGTAACGGGGGTTCGTAGCGCAGCACGATAACCACCACACTACCGCTCCTCTATTTTGTATACATATTGCACGATACTCGTGTCGATTAACTGATGGATGAATTGATGTTCTGACATTGTCGGCGACGTAGCTTTCTATTTATATATATATTTTAAAAAAACTAGATTTACCGCGACACTCTCGTACCTGTCAACCCCCTTATCAGATCCCCTACCTTATTACAGACCAATTCAGACCTTATTGGTCACCCCGTGCCGCTAGACATCTCAACGTTTTTCCTACAAAGTCCCATCACAAGGGAGAAACACAAATAGACACATTATTTTTTGTTGTTGTTGTTCTTGTTGTTGCCCGGATTGAAACGGCTGTACGCCGTATGGACCTTGAAAACTCGATTTCCCTGTACAAAGAATACGGGGGTAAAACCGTATGGGTCGACAACGATGCACTCGAATAATTCCGCAAGCATTGAGCATGAGCCTAGCCCCCCACTCCCCCTACCATCCACAGCTGATTACATAACGCGGATGCCGTCCCTCGACAAAATTCGAAGTGGAGGGGGGGGGGGGGCTGGCGGGCGGGCGGGCGGGCGGGCGGGGGTAAGAAAAAAAGGTCGACTAATTTATGGACGCTGTATAAATCGGACGCGGAATACAAATCACCAGCCGAGTCGCGATCCACAGATTTTTGTTGGCGAGAGCAGCGCCTTCAGCCGTTATGCCGACGTGTTTAGTCAGCCTCCTCATTTGTGCACGATTTGAATTAAAAGCCACGCACGGTCGGAAGGGGGGGGGGCTGCCATGATGATATTTGGAACCAAAGGGCATGAATAAGATCTGCAAAATAGCGCCTTCTAAATAACCGTTTTTGCCGGATGTTGTTCCGTCATTCAGACAAAATCCCAAACGATTAAGCACTGTATTTGGAAACTGTCATAACCTCCTCAAGCCTCCACCACGAAGAGGACGATTTTCTCGATAATTTGTTCAAGAACTGTGGCGGTGATGTGTTGCGGTGAGGGGAGGGGAGGGTGGTGATGGTGGTGGTGGTGAGTCGCGAAATGCCGCCGTCGATTCGGTACCACATTTTAGTTTTAAAATCTCTCGCACTTCACCGGGCCAACGATGCAACACTGCAACGCGGCTCGCCGTCGAGGTTACTGTATTGAGCTGAATGTTAAGCGACAACATTGGCAATCGCCTCACGTGTTCGCAACTTTTTTTTTCCCACCCTTCCTGTCCCTCCCTCTTCTCTGCCGCCACCGCTGTAACCAGTGCGGCTTGCACGCCGTGGCGAGGGCCCCCTCCTCCCCCTGCCTGCCTGTCTCCTTGCCTGCCCCTCTGGGCTCGACCGGCGCATTACGAAACGCTGACTTCTTTCGCACCGTACCTCGGCCGACAGTTCAAGCGGAGCGAAAACGGCGGTGGAATTTGTTGAGGGATGGGGTTTTTTTTATTTTTATTTGAAGGGGTTCTAGACCTGGCCTCGCCCGCCAGGGGTCAGTTGTGTGGGCATAGGTTCCACGTCAGCCTCGCCTACCAAACGCCCACAATAAACCCACCCACGATTCTAATTATGGCAACAGAGATAATGCGTCGCCGTCTAAACACGCGCAGGTTTAACGGTGTCAAGGAAGAGATTTATCTGACGTCCCTCTAAGACCACGCCATGGTAACACCACGATGACATTTTTTTGCGATGTATTGGCAGCTGCGGCCGTGCGTGCAGGACAGTGCAGCTACTCTCTAGAGCTCACTCACTCGGTGACGGGTTTGCAGCATTGCGTTCCGCCCGCTTTCGTTGGAAAATGAACGACAGTAAACTGAAACGCGTGTCAATGCTGCACTGAATTACGTAACGTGAACTGCTGTGTCGGGGAGCACGTAGATTTCCGTTGTCATTCATTCCGCGTGAGCCTCATTTGTGCGAGAGATAACACGTGCCTCCGAGCGTATGCTGGGTTCGTGGCTATAAGTCTATAACTCACACACCTTTGCCCACGTTTGTTTGCAGAGTTCATGTTACGCTTCGCGTCTCAAGCAGAGAAAATGTGTCCCATAACGGGGAATTTTTTTTAATGGACCTGGGCATGTACTTGTGTTGATTCTTCTTCTTCTTCTTCAGATGTACATTGATTATTGATTTCTTCGTCCCAACATTAACGTTTGCAATTTGTTCTTTGTGATAATGATTTTTTTTTCCTCCCAGGTCTCCCTTGTTAAGGAGGCGGGTTGCCTTCATGGGGCTTTCTTTCTTTGAAATCACCATGCTTATTAAATGCACTCAGTCAGCCAGTGACCACATTGCATGCAGTGGCTTCCAATGCTGCTGTGTAGATATTTGCAACGCCTTTTACGAAGCGGGTTTCATTCTATAAATAGCACATTTTGACAAAATGGGAGAATATTTCAGTGCGGGGGGGGGGGGGGGGGTTAAAAATGTTAAATTGTGAAACGTGCATCGCAGCAAGCAAGCATACGACTAACTAAATATATGTATAACAGACATAAATAAGTAATTTCAGAGTAATATTTTTTTGTAATCTTGGAAACCACAGTATCCGCTCACTCTCGGAGAGAAAGCATGAGTCAGAGGCGCGAGGAGCTGCAGACGAGCAGCCACACGAGATACCGTGCCAACAATTGCCCCAGCTCCGTGGTCTTACATATATTAAGGTGTTATCAGCACGTTCCCATCACCACAATGAAAATACCAATGGATCGTCCCGAACCGTGATTTCCAATAAAGGAACCCCCCCCCCCTGGGTAGGATTCGACTTTCGAATTTTCACATTGAGCTGTGGGCCATTGAGAAAATGCCACTGGCTCGCCTGATATTAAAAGAGCCATCCATGAACACTCTCAAAGTCATCGAGCCACATTCGTCAGACTTGAGGACTTTTGTGGCCTCCACTGACGAGACACTGAGAAGTTTAATTAGTGCAGTGTGTTGGCTTTGTCGCACACTGCTGGCCAATATCAGTCCAAGTATTTGTTTTGTTATCATAAAACACGCTGCGCGCCTATTTCTCACAATCTCCTGAGAGAGCACCTGGATGGGTCTCGTTGAGTTTTGGGCACACGGGGGCAAGCGTGACTCTGTGCCCCCGACCGTGTTTGTGGATTGCTCTGGCCTCTGGAATTAAGTTACCCCGGAGGAATTTGTTTCATGGGCCACATTCTGCCGATGCCTCAGAGGGATGTGGGCAACTCCAGGGCTATGCTCTGTTAATACAAATACAGCATACACTACGGTGCTGTTTTTAAGAACATTGATCCTATAAACCCATTAGTTTACAGGCTCAAATGTTCTTGCACTTCTCAAATGGCACGCGAGAGCGTTCCCGTTTATTCAGTTAATTTTGTATTACTCACATTTCATTACGACAACACGTAATTACTCCATATAAATACGCGGTTAAATGCACTGCAGTGTACATGATTAAGCAAACATTATTCGGTGACGTTGCTGCTGCTGCTGCGTTGTTAGTGGTGCACAAAAACTGTTTGCACAACACAAAACTCGACACATTCGTCAACGACAGCGCCTTAAATTAAGAAACACCCCCCCCCCCCCCCCGCATCATTGTTTGAGGCTCTTCTTTATAGCACGTAAAGAGAGGCCAAGAGATACCGCGTTCATCAGGATTGGAG